ACCGCTACAGGAACGAGGAACGGTCTGGAAAGGGGGAGGTCTTTAAAGCTATGGGCAGGGCAGCTTCAGAGGACGAAGCCTTGGGAGAATGCCTTTCTTCAACACCTGGAGGAGACAGCACATGGGCATGGCTCCCTCCACGTCGAAAGCTCACACTAGCTGAGAGTTAATGCATAAATGGTATATTCAGCTGCTTCTCTCCAGGTTCCATTAAAGTCATGCCCTTCTCTCTGCAATGTCCAGAAAGAGCAGATGCTCCGTGCCAGGTCTGGAGGCCCTGGGCTACAACAAGCTGCAATGGCTGTCAGTTGAGGCTTTCCACAAGGTTCGGTGGCGCATACCTAGGTGGCTTGTGTTCTTATTTGTCATTACAATACTAGTTCTGCTATAAGTTTGAAGGCAAAAAGGTTCTGGGATGGGCTTTCCCACAGAAACGACGAAGGTCCGTCTGCCTTCGATGCCAAGGAGAGGCACGGCTTGTTAGACCATGTGCACAGACATCTGTGAGGAGGAGCCCTGAACCGCACCGTACTGTCTGTTGTCACAGGCGTTGGCCGTCTGCTGGTTGCTGGAGGGAGGGCTGATCATGTGCATCCCGTGATCCATCCCTGTGGAAAGGTATTGCCTCTCTCCGAAGGCCCCGCTGGAGGGGGAAGAGCAGAGTAAAGTGCTTTGGGAGGTGGTGAGTTTCTCCGGGCTTGCCGCCAGCCTAGGGGAAGCAGGGAAATTGTATCCATAGAGGTTGTAGGGATTGTGCAGGGAGAAGGCGTTGTAGGAGCTCTGCTGCATGTGGCCGCCACCGAACATGTGTGAAGAGGAGGAGGTGGAGGCAGGGTTGCCTGCTTGCATGACATACTGAAACTGGGAGCTGGGGAAGGACCCCAGCTGGCCGCTGTATGCTTCCATCTTGCTGGGGAAGCAGGGAAATTGTATCCATAGAGGTTGTAGGGATTGTGCAGGGAGAAGGCGTTGTAGGAGCTCTGCTGCATGTGGCCGCCACCGAACATGTGTGAAGAGGAGGAGGTGGAGGCAGGGTTGCCTGCTTGCATGACATACTGAAACTGGGAGCTGGGGAAGGACCCCAGCTGGCCGCTGTATGCTTCCATCTTGCTGTT